GCAGCAGGAAATCACATTGTCTATTTTTATCCCAGTTCACTGGAAGTGCTTTACCTTTCTGTTTTCTTGATAAGCACAGCCCTGAAGATTTGTTCCTGGGGAGTTTTCTCTTTTTCATCAGTTGGTTGCACGAAAGGGTGGACAGCAGCCAAGACGAAGCCCTGCTGGTACAATTCTTGCAGCTGAGCTGGGAGATCACGCAAGGAGGAGAGCTTGATTGCAGATGATCCTGGCAGCTCAGCTGGAAACAAAAAGTAATTGGTCAATAATCCTACACTGGACTATCATGTTTTTTAAAATCCAGGCTCTTCAGAGTCAAGCAAGCTTCACACTGATCTACAATATTAACACAAAAATTGACCTTTCCTGAGGCCCATTTTGTATTTCAGATTTTAAGCAGGCTGTCTTGGCAAAGAACTTGTATCACACAAGAGACTGGTGCAATTAAACAAGAAGTCAGACACATTAAAATGCCAAATTCACTACATAGTCTGGGAGAGACGAAGTGGAAGATTTAATGAAAACAAGGCTGTCGGTCAAAAGATATTCTAAGTTTTAGTAGGTCATCACAGTAATGCAAGTTGAGGAGAGCAAGCCATGAGTCAAAGATAAAATAAGAGAAAGGGGATAGCCAATGAAGGGAGAACATGTCAAATTCAAAAGCAATAAACAGAAGCATTTGTCTACACAAAAGCTGTATTATCAGACTAAGAGATCACTGATGCAAAGTGCTGTTGAGATCAAATATCTACCAGTATGTCTAAAGAGTACTCTGTAGGTATATTGGTAACAAGAACGCTAAGAGCAACGCGTACCTGTAGTGATGAGAAACCTTTAGAACAGACACTAAACCTTATACCTCAAAGTTTAGACGAACCTGTACATATTAGAGATGAGGAAGAGACCTAGCGCATGAAAATAATCCTTCCCCAATCTGCTTACTGTGGGGTTTGATGCCTTCCTATGAAGCATCTGATGCTGACTCCTGTCAGACACTCGCCATACACACAGATCCTGCAGTCAGTACAGCAATTGCCCTTATTTCCTTGGAGTCTTGTGGGCTTCAAAAGAAAATCCCATAAATCACCTAAACCAACCTCCCATTCCCTTTCTCTCTACATCGGTAATTCTTCATATGTTTTTCATATCTTATATGAAAAGACATCTTTCTTTCCTGACCTTTGCCTCTTCATTTCCATCTCTCTTGGGGTATATTTATTATTTCATCCCTAACCATGCTAGAGCATATAGGGTCGTGAGGTGCTGGATGGTTTCCCCTCCCACTGAAACCAATAGGGAGGGGATGTTGCAAGAAACACGATGGAGGTTCCCAGCACTTTGCATGCCTTCGTTTTTTTAAAAAAAATTTTTAAAAAAAGTAGCACTGGAGAACTGTATGCATTAAAGACGCCAACTATGCAAAATAAGGTTTCATTGTACTGCTTTTTTCATCAAACTGTGTGGCTACCCTTTATGAATAATGAAAGAGGTTATCAAAAAACTAATAAATATTCAAAGCCAATAATACAGAGGAATAATTTAAATAATAATAGAATAGCTGTGCTTGGTATGCTTTTTCTTCATGTAAGACCATGTTCCAGAATGGAACTTTTTGACCAAGAACTACAAGATGCAGAATTTTTGTTATTTTTGCAAATAAAATGAGAAATCCAAGCAACGTGTTCACTGACAGACAATAGTGCTCTACCTTCCTCAACAGCATACAAATCATTTAGGAATCATAAAAAGAGACGCCCCAATGAATAATGCATAATAAATAATAAAACAACTGTTATTTACTGAACTCTACTGAGGATCAAAATGGGGAAAGAAACTCAGATGTTAGAACTACTTTTTCCCTCTTGTGGCTCAGAGACTCAAAAAAAATTTAGACTACAAAACAAATAGCTTAATTAATGTAAAAATACATTTAAGAAATACCTTCCTAAATGAGGAGTTTACTTGAATACAAGGGAATGACTAAACACTATTCAGTAATGTTAATTCTGGTAACAGTGCTCCAATTCTTAACAATCATCTATGAAAACTGATGCTTGTCTTGCATATGAACCTAGTATCTGGATTCTTCTGAGGATGCCTTGGTAAAACTAGTAGAAAGTCTAGTCATTAACATAGCAGTGATTGCTTTCTCCTAAAAGCTAAACACAAAGGGAAAGTGTGAAAATACATGTAATTGGAGCCTTGGGATGTACGCTTATGATTAAAAAAGAAAGGTAGTAGAAAATAGAACTGGGAGGGATCATCCAGCTAGTTCATCCTATTACCTAGAGGCAGGATCAGTTCTAGTTTAGCTATTTCTCACAGTTTTTCTCATTTATATTTAAAAACCTTTAGTAACGGAGATTCCACAAGCCCCACAAGTAATGTTTCAGTACTCCTCTATTCTTACTATTCAAAACATTTCCTAATGCCTGGCCTAAACGTCCCTCTCTGAAATTCAAGATTGCTACTTCTTCGGTAGAATATTTTTCTGCATCAGCATTTTACAATTCCTAATACCCATCACACCTTAATCTTACCTTCTTTAGACTGTATAAACTCAGTCTTTTCAATGTTTCCTGTTCCCTTGTGTTTTCTAGATTTCTAAATAATTTTTTATGGTTCTCTCCTGATTCTCTTCAATTGGTCCACATCTTTCTTCAAGTATAGTACTTAAGCCTCACCACAGTGATCCAGCACAAGCCTCACCACTACTTTGTAGAATGGAAAAGCTCCTTCATGCTTATTGTACATCCCATGTCAGTTTACATCATTTTGGGGGGGGAAAAAAAAAATTCTTTTCCCCACAACTAACAGTGGCCAAATGTCCCTGCCCTTAGCGAATTTTAGGGGTTTTTTTCTTCCATTTTTCAAGGGCCATTCTAGATTCTGACCTCCACACTGTGAACAGCACAGTCTCGGACTGTCAAACCTCAATAAACATACTCAGTAATCTATTCTGGAATAGTTAATGAAAACATTGAATTTTAACAGACTCTGGACAGAACCATTTTAAGCCATAGAGTCAATATATCTTTTTGGTTTGATGCTGAACTACTGCTGATGTCTCCCTGGACTAGAGATCCTTCAAAAAGAAAAGACAGCTCCTGTTACGCAACTGATGCCCACAAGGTCTACACGAGTCTCCTGGGTCTACAGACCTGTGCTATGCATTCTTGTTACTTTCCTACAGACTTGTTTGTGTGATGCAAATTCCTCCCCAGAAATCCCTGCTCATCATCCTCTGGATATTTTGTTATTTGTTTCGGTATCTTTCTGGGCATTAAGGTAGGCTAACAATCATACAGTTCTCTTTAAAAGTAGGTCGAAAAAGGACATCACACCTTGCTGGAAAGTTGCATTCATCATTCAACAGTCTTCAAACTTAAATGATGAGATTTCAACTTCTTCAGCTAATTTTCTAAGGTGCATACTCATAGGTTCAACTTACTTGAAAATGCCTAATTTATGAAACCAGTTGATCTACTCTTTCCTTACTTTACTTTAGAAAAATGCTAACATTTTCAGAAAACCTTACACAACTTCCAATAAATCCATTAAAACTTTTGTTTTAGTTGTTAAAGAGAATTCTAATCACACCACTTTCAAAAGAAAAAGGAAAACCAAAATTGTGTACTATAGGGACTTGTGTAAGGTAAAAGAGCAAGTGAAAACCCAAATAATCTTGTGTAACTCAAGTGCTTATTATAAGCCTCTATTTTGCCAAAAGATAAAGCTGAATTCCTTTAGCAGCCTCCAGGTTGCTCTTGAAATGCAGTTAGCTCTAAGTTTTACATTCTGCTCCATGCTTCCTTATTTATTGTTGCACTTCACAACCTGACCTCAAAAGATTCCTTTGTTTATTCTGTCTACATCTAGACAAGTGTGTAAGAAACTTGGAAATGACAGATGCTGTGTTTTTCAATTTTGCTAAGGCTGAAAGTGGAAATAGAAGTGCTGGCTGCTTTTGGAACTGATTACCAGACAAATTAGTTTCTTGCCTGACTGATAATTGAAGCTGAAAACACTTGCAGCAACGCTCAGATACATACAGAAAATTACAGCTTAGAGATCCTTAAAAACGAAAAGAAAGTTTGTGTTACACAACTGATATCCGTAAGGTGACTTTCCTGGGTCTAGGGACTTGTACATTCTTTGCTGCTAATGGAAAAACCTGACCAAACACTCACACTGTCCCCATCTTGCCACAGAAAAAAAATCAATAAAAGGACTGAGTTGACATAAAAATCTACAGGTTGAGTCACATGTATTTGAAAGGAGTCATCTCTGCAGCTCCAAAACAATTTATGGGAAACAGAGGAAGGTGGTGCAGTCTGCCACAGGGATCCTGAGGGACTGAGCGCAGGCTGAGAAATATGGTTGGGGAGACAGATACTGAGGAGAGCTGGTTCCTCCTGTGCTAAGGAACTCTGATTTCCCTTCCAATGGATCACCCAGGGCTGCTACCACAGAGATCAAACAGCCACCGACCACCTTCAAACTAAAGCATCCCATATGACCTCTGACAATTCTACTACAGTCCATCCTAAAGAGGTAGATGTATCCCGATCAAATATGAAGAGAAGACAGTTACACCAACTGTCTACAACAAGTAGGCTAATTTTTCTATATTAAAACAATAGATTTGGGTACCTTTGAGATGCTACAACCCAACACTTTTAACTAAGAAAGGTATATTATGCTTTGTAAAATAAAGCATGGATTCATCTATTAGCCCATGCTTAATAAAGACAATCATCAACCACAGTACATCTTTATATATAATCAACAGAATCAGATGCTTTTAACTCTATTCTATTTGATAAGCAGCAATTTTCCCTTCCTGCTAGTTACGCTTATGACAAAGTTAAAACAAACTTTATTGTTTTTTAATTTCTTTCTATTTGAATGATAGCTATGCTCCAGGAAAAATAAAATGTTAAATGCCAAAATGGCATTTATTTAATTTCTCTTCACCAAAATGGTCAAATTTGGGGTCAAATTCAGGTCAGTTTCTCAGTGCTTATCCTTAATACTTTATTTAAAAGGACAAGCATACAGGTCTACTGTAAATTTCTATTATCCTGTGTCAGGTGTTTACTTAGCTTGCTTACTCCAACAAAACAAATTCAATGTTGGGATTTTTTGGTCTTCATTTTTTAACATGTTTTTCTGATTAAGCTTTTATGCTCTTATTCCAGTCACAGCTGTTAAAGACTGACGGAGCCCTTAATGACAGTT